AAAGTCTTTAACAAAGTCAATGACATCTTGATCGAAATTGTTTTGTGAAATTTGGGCCGTGATTCTTTGTTTCTTTTCGAATAGGATGGTTATTCTCGGTTTTGCTGGTGAGTGTAACACTGAGTCTATGATCACCTGATTTTGTCCGTAATTTACTGGAGAGTCAGAAATTTGGATATCGGTTATAGGGTTTTCTTCCGCGTTTGTATGTATCGTTGCGTTGTCATCTTCTGGTCTTTGATTTTCAGGGTCGTCAGTTTCTAAATCAGGAATGTCTTCGTCGGGTTGCACTTGTGTCGAGAGATTGTCGTTGTCTGTCCTTGTTTCTAAACTTTTATTGAAGTCTTCTACGTACCGCAAAAGGTCCTGGAGTTCTGTTTCCTTTGTGTGTAGTTCAATGCGAGAAAGAGCGTCTGCGTTCGTATTCATTTTTCCTTTTTTATATTGAATTTGATAGTCATATTCTTCTAACTTGATTTTCCAACGTAATAATTTTGAGTTTGGTTCTTTCATATTGAAGAGCCATTCTAAAGGTTTGTGGTCCGAAACTATAGTGAATTTTCTGCCGAAAAGATAGGGTCTAAAGTACTTAGTTGCCCATACAATAGCCAATAGCTCTTTTTCTATTGTGCTATAATTCCTTTCCGAGTCGTTCAGGGTACGAGAAGCGTACGCCACTGGTAAATCTTGTCCTATCGTACCTTGAGATAGAACAGCGCCGATCGCTACGTTACTTGCATCTGTCGTGAGTAAAAATGGTTTGGTTAGGTCAGGGTATTGTAGTATGGGTTCGTTGATCAGTAAATTTTTGCATGTCTCAAAGCAAGAGGTGAATTCGTCATCATGAACTATACTTGCGCCTTTTTTCAAACATTTGGTCAGGGGTTTTGTTAATTTCGCGAAATTCTTTATAAATCTCCGATAATAACCAAGTAAGCCAAGGAAACCTTTGATTTGCTTGGTCGTTTTCGGTATAGGGTAATTTTTGATGGCTATTATTTTATTTGGATTAGGTTTAACACCTTCTGGAGTCACTACATGGCCCAAGTAGGCGACCTCCTTGCGCAAAAACTCGGATTTGTCGAGCTGAATTTTGAAATTTGCATCTCTCAGACGTTGGAAGACACTTTTAAGTCTTTCGATATGCTCTTGGAGTGAGGTGGAAAAAATAATAATATCGTCTAAATAGACCAGACACTTTTCATTCTGAATACCTCGTAGAATATTATCTACTATTCTCTGAAAAGTGGCAGGGGCATTTTTTAAACCAAATGGCATTCGCAAATATTCATAGTGACCATTTTCTGTATTGAACGCGGTCTTAGGTATGTCATTTTCACTCATCTCGATTTGGTGGAAACCACTCGCGAGATCTAGAGTTGTGAAGTACTGACATCTGCCTAACTTATCTAACAGATCAGTGATGTTGGGTAAAGGATATTTGTCATCGATTGTCTTTTGGTTAAGTTTGCGGTAGTCAACAACTACACGCCACTTTTGCTTGCCCGAGGCGTCAATTTTCTTTGGAACGACCCAAATCGGGGACGACCAGGGAGAATTACTGGGCCGAATGATTTTTTGGTCCAACATGCTTTGAATTTGTCGTTCTACCTCTTTCTTATGAACGAAAGGGTATCTGTATGTTTTCGTATAAATGGGGATTTCGTCACTAGTTCTGATGTCATGTTTAATTTTATGGGTGAATGTCAAAGGTGTATTTTCGTAATAAAATATGTCAGAATATTCTTTGCACAGATTTTCAATCATGGATTTTTCTTCGATATTCAGATGGTCTGTACGAATTTTGGATACGTCTAGTTTCGGTTTTTCAGTATCGTCATAGTCGTCAAAGTTATACAACTGAAATTCCTGCAAGTCTTTTTTGTCAAATTTGTCTACCATGATGGGTTCCGAGAAATCGAGTGTGATTTGTTCCGTTGTGTTATTTAGAATTGTCGTCAAAGCTTCTCCGTTTCTCGCTACTGTAAGGCATTGTGGAATTTCGCAGTTATGCAGTTTTTGATGAGGAATTATTATCTCGCCGTGTTCAACACTAGTTCTTATCTTAATCACTTGTTCTGTTCTAGGAGCAACAGATATCAAGTTTAATTCACTTTTTGTTTGGTGATACTGTAATTCAATTCTCGCACGAGGAGTAACAAGAATATTTTTATCGAAATCTAAATTAGCTTGAAGTAGTTTTAAATTATCTAATCCTAGTAGACCTTGAAAAACATTATGAAATTTGAACAAATAAAACTTTAAACATCCATTTACTCTGAATAATTTTGAAATAGGAACTTGGGCACTATGCTTGTGTGCAGATTTTTGGAATACGGTTGAAACTATAAATGGATCATCTTGAATCGAATTTGGATACAATTTATAGGCAATATCCGGGTCGATAAATGATTTCGTAGAGCCGGTATCGATCAGAATTTTTAAATTATTTTCGGGAAAGACTATATACGGCAATTCACTTGTATTTGAATTATTGAACGAAATTATTTGTGGATTTAAGTTTGTTCGTTTATTGGAGGGTCCATTTGAAAATTTGACTGTTCCGGGTATTCGGTGTTTTGTTCTGGGTAATAAGTGTCGTCACAGGGTTCTTCTAAAATGTCTGAATTTTCGTTAGGATAGGTGAAGTCTGGGGGTAATTCGTCGATATGATCGACTTCTGTATTATGAAGTTCTCCGTATTGTTTTTGTGGGGCTCTATACTGATTGAATGGGGTAGTTTGAGGACGATTGAATGTCTGTCGGCTTGTTGTACTCATTGGAGTAGGGTCAGGTAGGTTTCTATTCTGATTTGGTCTGAATACGTTTTGTCTATTTGCCGGTTGTCTGAATACTTGCGAATTTGTGAAAAATCGTTGCGGGGTATTATTGGTATTTGGTCTGATTTGAATGGGTTGAGAAGGAAACGTATTTTGTGTCCTGAAATGATTGTTTTGCGTTTGAGCATTAAAAGGTATTCTATTGTAGTGATTGAATTCATAATTTGGAGATCTTTGTTGGTTTCTTTGTGAATTTTGAACATTATTAGGCCTAATAGGTGTTCTGTTTGTGAAATTTTGATAGTAATTTATATTTTCTTCCTGAATAATAAACTGTAAAGCTTCATTCATATTACTGGGACGCATACAACGAATTGTTGTACCGAGTGGTTCTCTAAGTCCAGTCAAAAATGTGTTCAAAGTTAGATTATTGTATAAGTTACGTTTTAATAACTTTGCTTCTGCCGTCACTTCGTGACTATCAATATAGCAACAAAGTAAATTCAAAATTTGTAAGCAACGGTCGAAAAACTGTTGAGGCTTTTCACTATGTTGTTGTCTCAACATAATAAGGTCTCTATTCAAACAAGCTTCATCGCGTTGATCTGCAAAATTTCTAGTTAGAGTTTCTTTTAATTCTTGCCAAGTGCTAACGTTTTGAATGTTCACGACTAGCTTGGCATTACCTGATAATTTTCCTATTAACGAATTAAGAAGGTAAATATTCTGAAAGCTATCAATATTTTGTGCATCATAGAAGGTTGAAATTAATTTCTCACAAGTTGCAAGATATCTATTCAACTCGTTTGGGTTTCCGTCAAAATTTGGAACACAGTTCAGATATTCCGGTTTGAATTGATTAGCCATGGTTATTTCTAGATTTGAAGTTTCGTTTAAATTCTCTACTATTGGTAAAATGTTATTTTCTTGATTGCGAGTGGGTTGGGAGTCAATATTTTGGGAGTTTGATACAATGTCTGAGTCAGTTAGAGACAAATTATCAAAAAGGTTTTCGAGTGACATAAATACAATTGACTTACGCTATGAGCAATCCTCTGGTCATTGTCTTACACTATAAAGCGTCTGCAATGGGTTGCCGATTGATGTCCAATCCAATACTGATCGCTCTGCAGAAGGGGACGATGCTGTTCCTCTTCTCGAAAAAAGCTGATGATGTGATCTTCCACAGGTCTTCGATAGACAGGGTGTCCTGATTTCTAAGGAGCCACTCTGCTTCCGATACAACCACGAACTTTTCACAAATGTTCGATTGCCGATAAATCGTTGATACGAAAGGTACACGTTCGATACGTATATCTTCGACAATCCGCACGACTGCGCCAAATAACTTTTGAGACCGAAGGACTTGCTTTTTAAAAACAATTCTTTTATTCAAAATGGACAATGATACATGTGAGATGATGTTAACGGTATAAAAACTAAGTTCTGACTGCCGGCTGAAGTGCGTCTAGGAATAAGGTAGACTATTGTCTAGCTCAGCATCTTCTTCTTAGGCGATGGGGATACAAGCTGCGTCAGCGGAATCCCTGGGATAGGTGGTGACATAATTCGTGGGAAAAAAGTTAGTACTTTTTTCCCGGATATATATCACATAATTATATACCTACACTGTTGATGGCTTCTGTTGTGCTATAGTTCCGAAAAATGAGTCAATAATACCGTCTCCGAGAAAGAACTGCAAGTCCTTTTATCTTCCATTCGACTTCGCAGTTTCGTATATTATACTAAACAACTACTGAATTCGCAATTTTTCAAAATCAAATCACAGAATTGAACTGACAGAAGTGACATCAGATATTTGATTACTTCAAAAGAATTATGAAGATGCCTATAAAACGCAGGTGTCCCTACTGTTGAAAACTTGAAATTTCACGTCGATAATTTTCAGATTTCGAAATAATGTAATATCTTCTCAATATTGATTCGTCCTTCCTCCTGTCACAGAAAAAAATAGTGTATTATACACGGGAAAAATATTAGATTTTAGCTCACGGTTTTTTGTCTCCCTCCGCTACGCGTCGGGAGACAACACAACCTGGAGCTAAAATCTACAACTTTTTTCCCTTGTATAATAAATAACTATATTTGTTTCACTGATGGCAATGGCGAAGTGACTACAAGAATGTGCAATGGGGCGGCCACTATAAGTTCCCAGAAGTTCATTGTTTGTTGGGATTGTAACAATGAGAGTGGAGTAATTTAATGCATTTTTATTATTTTTATTCAAAAATAAGACCTATCATGCACATAGCACATAGTTTGGGAATTTTCTCAGCAACTTCACTTAGTGTCCTAGGAGCTGAGTAACATGCATCATCGATTTTGAAAATTGTAAATATCTCGAAAACGATCGATCACCTCCAACGTTATTGAGGTAGTCTATCTTTTTTACTTGGAATAAGGGTTTTTCATTAAAAATAAATAAATAATTTTGAAAAAAATCGTGAATTCAGGGAAACAAGATAGACCTGTCCATATACAGGAAAATGCGGTGAAATATATGTTTACAAATCATTTCAGAATACTCTCCCCACAGACCTCTTGATCTTCCCCAGGAATTAATTGAAGACATTTTCGATATCCTATTGCATCCACCCTCTTTTGTACGCTTCATGAACAATAAATCTGAATTTCTCGCGAGCCTTTGGATCGAGATCGTCCTTGACCAACTTATCAGCCTGAGTTGGATCAGCAGCCACTCCTTTCTTTCCGAAAACGATGATCAGCAAGAAAAACGTACCGGCGTGCATTATCGAAATAGGAAACACCGCCTTCACTTCCTCCACAAAGTCCTGGTAGCTAAAAGACGCTAAGTCGCATCCCAACTCCCTAAGAACTTTCGTGAAGTTGTCGTGGTAGTACTTCAGCAGATAGTCGAAACGGGTCTTCAAAACAGAAGTTTGCACGCTGGTGATTAAGAGGAATAGCAGATCTCTAGCAGGGCTGCCGTAGGATATACCCTGGAAATCCACGAATTTGTTTTCAATGACCCTATTTTTGTGGTCTAGCTTCTGCATGGTGTTGTTTAGCCACATGTCCATGTGCACCATGGTGGCGAAGGGTTCTTTCTGTTCCACGGCGAACAACCCTCCGAAGCCCTTCTTTCTCTGTTCCTCCAGAATCTCGAGGAAGTTCGGGATGGCAGGTACGCACTTCTTGTCTTCTTCTAGGATCGCGATTAACACTTCTTTCGTTAACTCTGGTGCTCCATCTGGGTTGTCGGGCGGTGGGGGTGGTTTAAGTAGGTAGGGCCTTACTATGGCCTGGGAAAATTTCGAGGACCGTGGGAAAATCTCTACCCTTTGATGTTGCCGCCTAACCGCAAGGTGCTAATTCCACGCTGGCGCGAGCTTATCGAAACCGCAACAATAACACTTTGATGACAATAACAAGATTGAATTTTCATATACAGGGCGTTTGAGTTGATTGAAAATTGAATAAAAAAATATATACAGAGTGTCCCACGGTTCACGGTCCCATGTTTTAGCATGGAAGGAGTGTTTGAGTTGAAAGAAATATATACAGGGCGTTTGAGTTGGATAACAGTAAAAAAATATACAGGGCGACTCATTCACTTTTGAGGGATTAGACAGCTGACGTATGACAGATAACAAAGGATTGATGACACGTGACTAGGCGACCTGCAAGTCGGCTATCTAATAATTTAATTCAATATACAGGGTGTTTGAGTTAGCAATAGCGATACAAAAGTATATACAGGGTGTCTCACAGGTAGCAAACATACGTATGACAGAGTATCCGTTTGATATACAGCAATAATAGCAATACAACCTCGCATAGGGCACTCGTGGCCTGACGTTTGACATTTGACAGATGACCAAAAACGCAAAACGGTGCGCATTTAATTAAATTTTTCACCCAATAATGGCTATATACAGGGTGTTTGAGTTGTATATCAGCTGAAAAAATATACAGGGTGATTCGCAGTAATACTACCCCACTCTAGGGTATCAGAGGGTTGAAGAGGGTGCAGGTACTCTAAGAGAAGGATTTTTAACAGGCACTTCGAAAATAATGGTTTCTCTATATGCAAAGTCTCAAGGTTTATGAGATATCATTTGAAATGTGTGTGTGTGTGAACGTTCAGTTATGTGATGGAAATATGTCGAACAACTCTTTATCAAAACTCGTTCAATAACATGATATATACAGGGTGTTTGAGTTAGCAATAGCGATGAGAAAATATATACAGGGCGTCTCAGGGGTAGACTCAGCGAACATACGTATGATAGAGTATCCGTTTGATATACAGCAATAATAGCAATACAAACTTATATAGGGCACTCGTGGCAAGAAGTTAAAGGTGAACTCAGCAAAAGTGTGACAGATGACGCTATTTGACGATTCCGATCATAATACAGGGGTGTTTGGATAGCAATAAGAATATATACAAGAAGGCAAGAACTGACAGGCGGACCCCCTGCGAACATATTAACGTACGACAGATGACTCGCTAGAGTCCGTTGAATATACAGGGCTTTCAAATAGTAATACAGACTTGTATAGGGCAGATCAATTAAATTCAATTGGATTAAAGGAACTTACTCAGTCCGAAATGGCTTTATTTCTGAGATACAGGGTGGTAAAGTTGTAGAATGAAAATCGAATTATTCAGACATTCAACAACTAAAGTATGACAGATGACATTTATACTATTCGATAGATGACATATTACGTATGACACGTAACCTTCCAGCGCTTATCGAAAACAGATATCCAGGTTTAGCACAACCTACGAATTTCAAGAAAGCGAAAGAGTTAATTTTTCCCTAGATTCTACGGAAATTACAAGTTACGTCCCATAAGTGACTGCGTAAAACAAAGCAGAGTTTTCCCCAGATCTACGTACTTTTTCGCGAATATCATTATATACAAAGCGATTAGAAAAACCTAAGTCAACTGAAAAAACATATACAGGATGAGTCAAATAAGTGGAGTGGAATATATATTCAAGAAACATATACAGAATGAGTCACAAATCTCGAGTCGAATGAATTATTTGAAAAACATATACAGGGGGTAGAAAAAATTCAAAATTTATTACCACTCATTCAAATAATAATGAAAAACAAACTATCGAACTACCATGAACCCAATCACGATGTAATTCAATCAAATGGATGATTGATGACATGACAGCAGATGACCGAGGCAGATAACAAACGATCGAATAGCAGTTTCTATATACAGAAACATAGCCAGAGTCTTGAAATTCTCTATACTTATAATGATAATATTAGACATCAGGCGAACTCAGCATACCTATACCCAGTAAAAACATCCTTTTACCGTCCACGTCGAAATATGTCGAACAACTCTTTAGCAAAGCTCGTTTTTCTTATGGAAGTATTCAGATGTATTCAGAGGTCTTCAGATCATACCTTCAGAAGTATTCAGATGTATTCAGAGGTCTTCAGAGGTATTCAAAAAGTATTCAGATGTATTCAGAGGTCTTCAGAGGTATTCAAGAGTATTCCGAAGATATTCAGAAGCACGAAGTTCGAGCTACCCCGTATGCAAACAGGAAAAAATAGGATATAAATACCTGAACAGCGAAGAAATTCACCATTTTCAGACACTTTTCACTGAAACTATGCACATGACACTGAACAGAGTATAGTCCGACACTTGGGAAAAACCCCAGCTCCTAACAGGTAGTGTTGAAAATCGAACTAATGAATAGAAATGAAGAATGATTGATTCAACAAAAAATATAACCAATCACCCCTCATTTGTCCATGCAAAAAATTCGAAAATAAATAGGCGATAACTTCATAAACATATTCCTTATATCAAACTGAATGAACTGGAATGAAAGAAGAATGATTCTACCAATGCCAGCCGATAACGATTTCCTGTTTACTGCGATATAATTATTATATCCGAAAAACATTATCATAGGAAATTATTGAAGTAAAATAATATATTATATTTATCCCATATCACAGCCATGATCTTATAATTCAGAATTGGAGTTTATCACTATAACGTGATAGAAAAATTCAGAACTCAAAGGCCTCTCGGATAGAAATAATAGGGAAAATATAGGACAAAAATGGAACGTTACCTCTCATACAAAAATGTTATTATTCGGAATGATTTATTTTACGTGGATATACATTCTTTGAAAGGAGAAACATGTGAAATTCAACCGACGATTCATATGAACAAAGAAACAAATATACAGAGTGGATCATTTAAGAAAATTTCCATACAGCAATTGACATTAGGCAGAACCTAACACATAGTAGGTATATACAAGGTACATCAAAATATCCAACACTTATACACAACACTGCCTTGTCTGCGATATTGGAATACAATATCCATATGTGATAGATCATGTTTGTAGACACTCACATAGTAACTAGGACATATTATTATTACTAGGCAAAGTGGCGGATGAATCAAAATACCTAACACACGTACACAGTTCCACGGACTTAATTGACTACGATATCAGAAATCAATATAGTTATCAATGGTTGATCACTCAAAGCTATATTATCAAATCTTCAATTTAATTAATATTCCTATAATATAAACGTCGTACTATTTTCTGTGAATAACACAGAGCACGCTAAGTGAATATTACAATATACAAAGTTCCAATGATTATGAGATATCAATAAAATGAATGAAAAATATAAAAATAGCCAGTATAGTGCTTCCTTAAAAATACTGAATACTAAGAACAATAGGCGTCATACGATAAATGCGTGAATAGAATACTATACTCTTTCTACGACATCAGATAACTCCAGATACTGCGAAGACACCTCAACGATAATACCTATTTGCAAAGTCTGAAGATCTCAGAGATAATACACAGAAAATTCTAATAATCGTTACTCCCAAGCAGAACGTGAACATCGCATGATATGTCAACTATTAAAAAAATTGATCAACAAGAATATAAAATGATGGAAACAAACCATTCTTTTTACTTGAGATATAACAAACACGATATCCATCATGCAAAATTTTCGGACAAAAAATTATTATACCTACACCTATTAATAACAATAAAGAGTATTCCAAGCGGAGATCACAATATACAAAGTTTCAACGATTGTTATATATCAACAAAATGAATGGAAAATGAGCAGAACAACCGGCGTGAATAGCCTATATTTTTACGTTATCCTTCATCAACCTTGAATAAGGCTTTATCAATAATACTAACGATAGATACGTGAAAAACAAATCTGTACTAAGAACAGTGAATGTCATTAAGAAGATGTGCGAATAAAATACTGTACTTTTTCTACGACAACTGATGTCATACCAGGCTTACAATACCTAGCTCTTTCAATAACAATGAGTACTCTGAAAGAAGACCACGCATACATTTCAATAGGGCAAAATCTCAAAGTTCTCAGGAACAGAATCGAAATAATATTTCAGGAGCATTGTCCAAATGGTCGACGTTGAAAATAACGTAAGATAGATGAACTTGCTAGAGATATCATGTGAAACCTCGACCGAGTTCCAAGATCTCCAAGTGTTCAATACCTTACCTCCTCCGTCCATCCTCCCTATAGGCATGCGCGATTTTCTTCAACCATCATAGGAGCTCTCATTCGTACGATCCAAGAGATGAAAACCTAATAATCTGACACCTATTGTGGCACCAAAAAATTTAAACAGCGTATATGAATTAACATCTTAGAGAAATATATCCAAACAGGTTATCATTCATCACGAAGAATCATTCCTCTCTTATCAGGTGAAATGTCTACAACTATATGAAATGATCACAAGGTACCATTCTTTCCAACCAAAATAAGGATACCATATGGCAAACAGATCCATCATGATTGCACTGCTACACAAGAACTAGAATTTTTATTTCAGACGAAAAGCTACTCTACAAAATACAGATACGACCTGTTTTAGCAAACTGCTCCACATATAGGGTTCAACGTCACAAACATAATTATGCTGATGCTCCTAGATGCCATCTAAAGGAACTCGCTCGCCAGGCAGGTGATTCACACTCACTAATTCTTTAACATCATTGAAACATCACAGGAAAGTCAGCGATCTTCAACTTTTACACAGATATTTCCATAGGAAATAATTTCAGAAATATCTAATATCACTAGCAATAGCAACCAGACGAACTCGACAAGCCCAGACAACACACACATTATTTCGTCAATCGACAAATATATCGAACAACCCTCTGCGAAAACTCGTTCCTTGATAGAACAGCACAGCTTCACCAGAAGAAGTATTTGGATGATCTGCGCATGTGCAGATCACTCCTCT